AGTTACCGTTGTAATCTGTCTTGACGAAGGTGTAGACGGGTCCCACCCTGCCCTTGCTGTAGGATTTGTGGGTAGGCGGCGCTGCGTAGCCTGTGTCCCGGCGGTGGCGGGGCTTGGCTGCTACTGGCACTGTGGACAAGCTTACATCTAGACTACATGTGTTACCCACAAAACCACTAAACAATGCTACGACCATGCTCTCATACTAGTGCTGTGCCACTCATACTAATTATATACTGTACCCCCTTCACACTAATGCTATACATGCCATACTATGGATGCCACTGTCTCACTAATACCACACACACTATGGAAAACATTCGGGGCAAAACTACAAATACTGTACAGTAAAAATACCACTACCACAGTATTGTTGCACACTATACTACGAGTACAACTATCACTAATAGAACATACCTCACACTAGCAGGATGAGTCTTACTGAAGACTTACTTGGGATGGTGGAGTCTTACCATACAGTACGAGTCTACGACCTCAGCGTGCTAGAGGGCGTGGATATATACTACACGTCACCATACTACGATATAGCTTTTACACGTGCCGTCGACATTATTCTAGGGTAATTTATTATATTATAGCACAGTTAATTTAAGTACTTGTCTAGACATACTAAGCTACTCCCAGACTAATTAATACACTGCAACTTAAAGGCTCTGAAGAGTTATCCCATTTGTTTACTATTTAAAGGGGTATGGACGCCAGGGGCAGGTGTGTGCGACAACTACTCTCACGATGCCGCAAGTGTCGTCAACCTGAGTCGTCTTTACCAGTAGTCGGCCGACAGTCAAGAAGCCTCGTCCACCGAGAGGTAATCTTACAGTAAGTCTGAGACGTTATTGGGGAGTAGTCATAACACAGTGTGATTTCGATCAGTTTAGAAGGACTGGAGATGAGTGTTTGTAATGGTAATGGCGGGTGATGTATGTCAGTCATTTTAAAGCCCTGTCGGTCCTTGGAAGGTAAACATTTACTTGAGGCTTAACGCTTTGATATTTGACGCTTACATCTTTTAATAATAGATAATAGAAATCAAATGTTTATACATAAGGTTAATAACTACAAACTCAACTTTCATAACTAAGTATTGTCTAACACTAAGCTATTCATTGTTAATTTAATGAAGAAGAGAAATTTACATAACGTTGCCTGTTTTATATTTTCTAGTATCGACAAACTTTAAAAATCTGATACATTCTAATTTTTTAGTTACTTTATTTAGACTTCGATGGACTAATGGTTGAATAACAGCTAAAGATGAGGACATTATCACTACAAAATCAAATAGTTTCAAAGATAAAAACCATTTTGGTTATTTATATAGTGAGATAGTGTGAGTGTAATATATAGACAGTTTCGTCAAGTTTATAGTAACCTCGTTGTTCCACCTTTAAAATTACGACCAATCTGATGTTGTTGTAATTATTATGTTACTATAATAATTTACGGGTACTATATATTACCCAAGGACTTTATTATGACAGAAATAGTTGTATCGTAATAGTCATTTAACTGTACTCAAGAATGTAACAATATATTCTTCAGTCAAAAAAGTCAATCGTCAATATTTGCACCAAGTATGGAAAATATATTCAGGTAATAGCAAAAATAATTTCATCTAATATATGCATCGAACAAACATTAATCATAAGAATATAAGTTTGTGAGGAGTAAATAAAAATTAGTCAGTTCTCCATCGCAAAGGTTTAAGAGAGCGTATCTAACTGACGTATTTCAGCTGAGGCAAATTGTTGGCGGTCAAAAATTACAATGAGAATCGGCGTTATCTAGATACGTTCTCTGAATTCTGTTCCAGGGAGTAAAATAATATAGGAACCTTTGAAAATCTGGCTCCACCATTATTATTATTATTATTATTATTATTATTATTATTATTATTATTATTATTATTATTATTATTATTATTATTATTATACGTAATCCTCTTTAATGTAACTACGTTTTGACCATAGGCACTACGTGTTCTACAGAGTTGACTACGAGCGTTAATCCAAAAATGTTGTTGAATTAGTGGAGATGTATTTGACGTTAGCTTATTGTAGTGTTTTCTTATACCGTAAGTAATGGATAGTTAATAAGGTGTGCAGGGGCGGTGATGGGGATGCAGGTGGGTTATGGGGGGGTGATGAAGACGCAAGGATGAACAAAGATACAGGGAAGATGATAAAAGAGACATAGGAGAATGAAGAATACAGTGAAGGCAAAAATAATATAGAAAAAAAAAGGAAACTGGCAGAACCACAAAAGAGAGATACAGAGGAAGATGGAACAGAACACAAGAAGAATAAGAGAGATACACAAGAAAAAAAGAAGAAATGGTGATAAAACAACGATAACATGAAAGTAGGTGATAAGGTGAAAGGAAGGGGATGAGGGTGGTTTTTTGGGGGACGGGGGGAGGGGGAGGGAGTAGAGAGATCGACACAGGGAGGGGAGCGGGGGGTGGGTTTGTTTACATCTTGGAGCCTCTAGTATCACTCCGCCAACGCACTTACACTAAGTTGGTGTCTTGGGTGACTAGTTCCTCTTGATGGTGGTCCTCTGGGTCGTAGCTAAACTCCTCCATGGTAAAGTCTGGGTCACCTGCTCATGGTTATAGAGGCGAAGGAACTTTGAGCTATCACTGCTACTGTTTAACCCTACTGGCTGGATCATTGCCCCCTCACTAACTGCCGGATTCTCAAATTAGCTCAGTGACAGAACCAGAATATCAAAAGCGTTTCCATTCCCTATCTAGTATTAGGGGCTGAGAGAGGATGGACACACACACACACACATACAGGCAGACACATGATTACTTACAGCATATCATCTAAAAATTAATAAACAAAAACTATATTCAATATTGGTCACTCAACATAGATTTAAAGGTTGTAATTCTTATATATAGTTTATAAGTTCTCTAGTAAATTCTTTGTTGACTTATAATGTACAGGCTAGAGGTTTTTTATTAATATTGCAATAGACTTAAAACTTTACTAATTATTGTTGAAATCTCTAATCAGAATTACATAATAAACAAGGGAAATGTATAGTATGGGAGAAATAATAATATGATACGTTAAAAAAGACAACAAAAATAAACATACAGGGATGGAATAATCATAAAACAAAGAGAGATAAAGGAAGAAGCAGAAATAGATAGACGATGAAAACGAAACATAAGTATAGAAAGAGGTGGAAGACATAGGAGGAGACAAGACGAAGTGGTGGAAGACAAAACAGATGGGATAGCAAAACATAAACAAAGAGATGGGGAAGAAATAGGAAGAGAGGGAAGAAGAAGAAACGGTGGGACAACAAAAACAGAAGCATGGAATAGGAAGGAAAGAAAAACAAGACGAGAGAAGAAAAGAAGACAATAGAAAGGCAAGAAAACATAGACAGCAGAGGTAGATGAAGGAGGTGCTTACCGAAGTCGTCATCAAGGAGGATGGCTCGCTTGGTGATGAAGTGAACCACTTGCTGCTGCTGCTGCTGCTGTTGCCCGCTGACCTCACTAATGGCCATCACCACCACCACCACCGCGAACACCTGCCAACACACAATAAGAATTAGTAATTGGGCGTCATCTACACTACAAGTTGAACTATTTACCATACTCAAAGCCTCCTGAAGGTGTTGGAAGACATGTACTAGTACCTCTACCACCTGATACCCTCACTACCGTTGCCACCTCACACCCACACCTATGCTGATTCCGAATCTATGGTCCACGATTCGATTGCGGGATAATTAGTGGTCGTAATGACGCTTGGAATATTTTAATTACTGTACATTATTTCAATGCTAATTACTCGCCAACTATGGGTTTCCGGGGTGCGATTTTGGTGATTTGGTGTTATTCTAGAAGTACTTAATTAGTTGAACGCTTTAAATTCCAATTCCAAGAGAAAAATATATTTCAGTCACGACTTCACACCCACACTATACCACCACCACCTCACACCACCACTTCACACCAAGACTACCACCACCACCACCTCACACTCACTAACACTACCATAAACAGTCTCATTATCATTGACTTCTTATCCTCACTGCTTGCTCTTGATACCCTCAACTCATATTGTCACCCGCTTGTGCCTGAGGCCAAACACAAACATGTGTGACTTGTTGTCGAGGGTGTCAGGATCAAGCTGCTGTGGTTCCCCTCCCATATAGGCCTCAGTCTAACAAAGGCATTATTGGATACAAGGGCAAGATGAGTATGGAGAACACAGTATATTAGCTGCTGTCCGCGACAAAATTAACAAAAAATACCTGTACCTCCACACACAAGTTAACACCTGTAGCACACACACACGTTGGGTAAATCGCAGTAGGTCACTCTGGGTCAACATGTAACCTAGTGTTGGTAACTAACATTAGTAAACGGCAAGTTGATTTAAAAAGGATCGCCCAAGAATGCCGTCTAAATTGTACTATGACTGTACTTAGATGTTTTCTTACTGCAAGTTAGAAGAAAAAAGTTATCTCAGGGATCTTGGAGAATTTGAAGTGGAGCAAAGTCAACAGTCGGCGTTCACTTTCTCAGAGCACCACGACAGCCTGGGGTTACAGTATTTACAGTAAATCTCAACTTACCAACTTAAGAGCTGTCATGTTGTTATCTTGGGAGTATCTTAGCTTGTGTGTGTTCTTGGGTCAGCTGGTCTGGTTTTTATACGAAGAATCTACGTCACCTTGCAGCTGCCAGATACCGCGATAAAAGTTGTCCGTTTGACTTCCAACAGAATGTTCTTTACAAAAATACCACCGTAAGATTTTTACTCATTTGAAATAATTTAGTTGGTAATCACAAAGCAGATTATTGTTTCAAAAATCTTTTATCTTTGGGATATATTTTCAATGTTCGGTAGAGAAAATCTGGTGACTGTTGGCAAAGTTACAATAGCCGATGGGAACGTTTCTCTCCACCAGATGTTACTAGTCCATCACTTTCTCTACAACTCTCACTGGGCAGCGTCACGCCCTGTCCACAAAGCCAACCGTGGAGCTTCACAACATGCGTAGCCCCCATCACCCCCAGGACCACGAGGAACACATGGTCACAGTTACATCGCTAGTATGTTAACACTCACACTCATTCATATTATGCTCCATCGTCCATAAAACCTCCTGTTTACCTGAGTCACCTGTAAGCACGTTCTTTCCAAGTCGTATCGGAGAAAACGTATATTTACTGACGCCTGTGTTCATGTTTATTTAGATGTTAATTTATACTCTTAATTGGATGTGACCTGTGAGAGACTGCTGGACAATCGTTGAGTGGACCAAGATGTCCCATACACCTGAAGGTCTGTCTTTAATTTATTTTTTTATTGAATACTAGCTGGGGTATCTGGCCTTGCCCGGATTTGTTTTTGTCAAGGTAAAGTGGGTGCAACCACATAGCCAATGTCCGCCCTCGGCCAACAAGTCTGCAAGCGAAAAAAATAACCACAAATTTCAGGTGTTTGTGCTGCGAACTGAAGTCATACACAGTGGTGGCGGTCAGCCTCGTTATTAAGACGTTAGCGAGTATTCTCGGGCCTATATACATAAGCATAACAAATTTCAGCTCTTAAAAACTGGGGCCGTATATAGTAATGAGATGCGGTCTATTGACCTGGACTTATGAGGATACCTGACCTTGGGCTAGTTAACCATTGTTTACACTGGCACAATAGTGAAGTTGTTTACATTGATACATAATATAAGGTTATTGGTCCTTCCGGCGGTGATTGATACTGTACTTTTATGTGTCCACAGCACCCATTATAAAATACACTGTTTACAGACGATTATACGAGGCATGACTAAAGTCTCTTATTATTTAGGGACGACAACAGTAAGGCAAGGTACTGATTTGGATCACGTCAAGATTAACCCCTAAATCTTATTTTATCTGATGATTAAGCACCCTGAGGTTACCTGGGTTATGTTAGATAAAGTTAGATTAGGTTAAGTTTGTTAAGGTTAGATTAAGTTAGATTATATAAGGTATAAAGTTTTACATTATTTGGTAGTTATATAGTTCATAAATGAGATATGAATCATAAGATTATCTAAAGAGTATTTTGTGTTTAGTGTGCAGTAAAAAACATCTTGTAGGGCTGTAATAGATTGAAATATAATGTACAGTATGACTTAACTGTTTATACTACTAAATCTGTGGGTTAAGAGCCCTGGTTAACCCGTTAGTGGGAACCAATTCACCAATTAGTTTCCCCCTCTCGTTCCAGTCAGCTCCTCAACGGGGATCTTTGGAAGGATTTACGCAGAAAGCAAGAAGTCGTGACGTCACATCAACACATGCATGACATCTCGGGTGTCAAGTGAATCAGCCACGATGGATTTCACTCTTCAGTCCTAGTCATTCTTCCAAGCTCTACGGTCGTCACCAACGTCACTTAACACAAAAGAGGTAACTATATTGTACTTTCACCTCTTAATATTTTACCATTGGAGTTTGTAAGCCGATTCACTTAACTTAGTCAGGGTGGAAAATTGTGTTTGTTATTTTCCTGAGTTGTTTACACCTTGTTAGCAATCCAGTGTGGTTACCGACCTTACCTACACTGTGTCAAGTTGGATGTTCACCTGATGATTAGACATCCCAGCTTATTTCACCTGATGATTAGATACCCCAGTTTATTTCACCTGATAATTAGACGAACACACACACACACACACACACACACACACACACACACACACACACACACACACACACTGGTCAAGGTTTTCGACACGAGAGTTAATGTTAGCAACTTTCTCCATGAGTGACAAGAAAGTTACATTACTGTGCTTTCTCTTCTGATATCTCTCTCTCAATAGCACGTCAATGTACCTTTAGGAGGAGAAAGAGAGAGAAAGGTGAAAATACAGATATTAAAGACACAACCGCCACAAGAATAGAAAGTTAGAAAGCGGGATGAGAGAGAGAGAGAGGGGAAGGGGGCCAGGTGAAAATACACATTAAAGACAGAAACACCATAAAATTAGAAAAGACAGAGAGAAAGTTAATCGTTCGTAGAGCATGAAGAAATATTCGTCTTGGGTGACTTGGATTCGGTCGCGGATTCACTGGTCGAAACGTCACCACGAACGAGGACCGTCACGTATACCCAAGACTTGTAAAAAAAAAAAAATTGCACGCTTAATCCCTCCCCCCCTTAAATAGCTGTGTTGAGAACGTATCTAATTGTTGCCGTTACTGGATGTCTTTTCTTTATTCTAAGTGACGGGACAAAAACACTGTGATCAATTGGGGATTCGGGTCAGGATTTATTTATTTATTTGTATTTAATTTTAATGACTATTTTCCTCTCTCTCTCTCTCTCTCTCTCTCTCTCTCTCTCTCTCTCTCATACTTTATCTTTTTTACTCTCTCTCTACACACACAGAAGATTGAGGAAGAGTGTATTTCTACTATACTTGACTCAACAACCACCACCATCAACAACAATAACATCATAATCCAATTCCACTCGTTCAAAGCTTCAGTGTTGATACATCATAGGCACACATGTCCTCCTATCCTATGTATGGTACTGAGATTGTGGTAGTCTGTGTATGGTACCGAGATTGTGGTAGTTTGTGTATGGTACTGAGATTGTGGTAGTCTGTGTATGATACGAGATTGTGGTAGTCTGTGTATGGTACCGAGATTGTGGTAGTCTGTGTATGGTGCCGAGATTGTGGTAGTCTGTGTATGGTACTGAGATTGTGGTAGTCTGTGTATGCTATTAAATATGCGGGTTAATGTCATTGAAGAGTATTACTGTACATATATACCAACAAACTAAGTCTATTTTGACAAACATTTATAACAGGTTTTAATTTCACCATAACATAAACGCCTTTATATTTCTAAAAAAAAAATATATATATAATTTTAATCATTTATATTAATTTTGACTTTTTCTGTGTTACAATAGATAAAATTTTCCGGGGTCTGAAAATCTGTTGACAAGTTGAGGGGAGAAACTGACTCGATGGAAGAATGAAACAACCACTCAGACTCTCACACCGATTATATGGTGGAGCTGCTGTGGTCGTGAGCGAGGGAGGTAAATAAACGATGAGGGGGGGGAGGATGGGTAGAGAGGAGAAGATGGGAGAGGAAAGGGAAGGAGGAGGGGGGTGGAGGAGAGGATGGGAGAGAGGGAAGGGAGGAGGGGAGGTTGTTGAAAGGGGAAGGGAGGAGAGGAGAAGATGGAGGATAGGAGAGGGAAGGAGGGAGAGGATGGATGGAAAATATGGAGAATGGGAGAGGGAAGAGAAGGGGGCGGAGGAGGAAAGAAAAGGGGTGGAAGAGTAAGTTAATTGGCAGACGTTACTTGTGTTTACAGAGAAAATCCACATCTTCTCTTCACACGTTTAGAAACTAGTGGTAGTTTCCCTGGGTGTTGTTTATGTCTCGTCGTTACCAAGGTGATGATGGTGTTGGGGTCTGATTGAGCTCTACAGTGGATGGTGGAAGAAGGGCATTAATGGAGTGGTGGAGGAGCATTAATGAGTGCTAGTCGTGGTGGAGGAGCATTAATGAGTTGTAGTGGTGGAGGAGCATTAATGAGTGATGGTGGGGGAAGAGTAGCATTGATGTGGTGATAGTTGGAGTAATTTCACCACCGGGAGTGTTTAAACAAGTGAAAGTTAGGTGCTACTCCTGTGTGTGTGTTACCAGAGGGTGTACGGGTAGATACTCTCTCTCTCTCTTTCTCTTAATTGATTCGACACTTGATTTTTTTAAACTAGTTCCTTAACCTTGTGAGCCACTTTCTACCCAGAGTCTCACTTCATCCATAGGTGCGGAGTTCTCTATAGTGGTGGTATTAAGTTCTCTATAGTGGTGTTATTAAGTTCTCTATGGTGCTGTTATTATGTTCTCTATAATGGTGTTATTAAGTTCTCTATAGTTGTGTTTTTAAGTTCTCTATAATGGTGTTATTAAGTTCTCTATAGTTGTGTTATTAAGTTCTCTATAGTTGTGTTTTTAAGTTCTCTATAGTGGTGGTATTAAGTTCTCTATAGTTGTGTTATTAAGTTCTCTATAGTTGTGTTATTAAGTTCTCTATAGTGGTGTTATTAAGTTCTCTATAGTGGTGTTATTAAGTTCTCTATAGTGTTATTAAGTTCTCTATAGTGGTGTTATTAAGTTCTCTATAGTGGTGTTATTAAGGTCTCTATAGTGGTGTTATTAAGTTCTCTATAGTGGTATTATTGAGTTCTCTATGGTTGGATAAGTTTAGGTTTAGGAGGGAGATTGGAAGAAACTGGTTCACAAATAGGGTGGTGGACGAGTGGAACAAGCTTAGCAACTTTGTATTAAGTGCGGGAACTCTGGAAAGTTTCAAAAGGAGCTTAGATAGATTCATGGATGATAGAGAGTGGTAGTAACTCTCGACAGGAGCTGCCATGCACAGGCCAACCGGCCTATTGCAGACTCACTTTTCTTATGTTCTTATGTTATTAAGTTCACTATAGTGGTGTTAAGTTCACTATAATTGGTGTTATTAAGTTCTCTTTAGTGGTGGTATTAAGTTCTCTATAATTGGTGTTAAGTTCTCTATAGTGGTGTTATTAAGTTCTCTATGGTGGTGTTATTAAGTTCTCTATAGTGATGTTATTAAGTTCTCTATAGTGGTGTTATTAAGTATAACCAACTTTCCCAGAAAGTAGATATTTCCCATTTTCTGTGATACAAATTTCCCGTTTTCTATGATAATCTACTTCGCAAAATTAAGTAATATTTCCCCAAAAATCGCTAATCTACTTCCCCGAAAAGTAGATAATCTACTTTTCCGGAAAGTAGATATTTCCCATTTTCTATGATACAAATTTCCCGTTTTCTATGATAAGTAGATAACCAACTTTCCCAGAAAGTAGATATTTTCCATTTTCTGTGATACAAATTTCCCGTTTTCTATAATAATCTACTTCGCAAAATTACGTAATATTTCCCCAAAATCACTAATCTACTTCGAAAAGTCGATAATCTACTTTCCGAAAGTAATCTACTCGAAAGTAAATAACCAACTCGGAAAGTAGATATTTCCATTTTCTATGATACAAATTTCCGTTTTCTCTTATGATAAGTAGATAATCAACTTTCGAAAGTAGGATATTTCCCATTTTTATGATACAAATTTCGTTTTCTATGATAATCTACTTGCAAAATTAAGTAATATTTCCCCAAAATTCCAACTCTACTTCCCCGAAAGTCGATAATCTACTTTCCCGAAAAGTAGAAATCTATCTACTTTCGGAAAGTAAATAACCAACTTTCGGAAAGTAGATGTTTTCCCATTTTATGATACAAATTTCCGTTTTCTATGATAATCTCTTCGCAGTACGTAATACCCAAAAATTCAATCTCTTCCCGAATCGATAATCTGCTCCCAGTAAAATCATCTACTTTCGGAAATGAATATTTCAAGTAGATATTTCCCATTTTATGATACAAATTTCGTTTCTATGATAATCTACTTCGCAAATTACGTAATATTTCCCCAAAATTCGAAAATCTACTTCCCCAAAAGTCGATAATCCTTTCCAGTAAATCTATCTACTTTCGGAAAAGTAAATAACCAACTTTCGGAAAGTAGATATTTCCCATTTTTATGTACAAATTTCCGTTTTCTGATGATAATCTACTTCGCAAAATTACGTAATATTTCCCCAAAATTCGAAAATCTACTTCCCCGAGTCGATAATCTACTTTCCAGTAGAAATCTATCTACTTTCGGGAAAATAAATATAACTTCGGAAAGTAGATATTTCCATTTTTATGATACAAATTTCCCGTTTTCTATGATAATCTACTTCGCAAAATTACGTAATATTTCCCAAATTCGAAAATCTATTCCCGAAAAGTCGATAATCTACTTTCGAAAAGTAATCTATCTACTTTCGGGAAAGTAGACACTTTTCGGGAAAGTAGATATTTCCCATTTTTTATGATACAAAATTTCCGTTTCTTATGATAATCTACTTCGCAAAATTACGTAATATTTCCCCAAAATTCGAAAATCTACTTCCCGAAAAGTCGATAATCTTTTCCCGGAAATTCGTCTTTCCAACTTTCCCGGAAAGTAGATATTTCCTATTTTTTATGATACAAATTTCCCGTTTTCTATGATAATCTACTTCGCAAAATTAGGTAATATTTCCCCCAAAATTCGAAAATCTACTTCCCCGAAAAGTCGATAATCTACTTTCCCGAAAAGTAGATAATCTACTTTCCAGGAAAGTAGATAACCAACTTTCGCGGAAAGTAGATATTTCCCATTTTTTATGATACAAATTTCCCGTTTTCTATGATAATCTACCCCCATAAAATTACATGTCTTTCTTTAAATTCGAAATCTATTTCCCCGAAAAAAGTCGATAATCTACTTTCCCGAAAAGTAGAAAATCTAT